TTTATGATAATAGGCTGTTACTACACTGACCATATATGGTAACAGGGTGTTGCTGCTACATTGACCCCTTATGGCAACAGGTTATTGCTACAGTAACCCCACAACAAGCTTTTGCAACACTGACTCAATCATTTCCCTGCTAACTGACCCTGGAAACACAAACCGAAACTGTCTCTATTTTCCGCTTGTTACAACTTGTAATAAAGTTGTTACATCTTGGCTTAACGTGTTTATGACGTATTAGAACGTTGTTACAACTTGCTATATTGGTTGTTATAACTGGTTAGGAAGTGTTAAAACTTGTTCGAACGTTGTACCAACGTCGTAGTTTCGGTGTGTGTTTGGCGGGTGACAGCCTTCCCAACATACTCACTGAGGTTTTCTCAAGTACCAAGTATTTTATTTTATTCGTACATCATTTTTTTCCTATCTAATGATATATACTGTACATATGAATCGCTTTTCGTGCATTCTGGTTGTATGGTCAAGCAACTACATCTTTATGTCTAGTTCAGTCTTTTATCTTCTTATAACTTTAATATTATTGTACAACCATATGTAGTTGTAGCACAACACTGGTAACATATCCACGAGTCTGTACTGCAACGTTTACGTACGATTACGTGTATATGTTTGGTTGATTAGACACACACAGTTTAGTGGTTTTTTATATTTATTTAGTATAGTCTTGGTTACAACAGTCGGTTTGTTGGCAGTGTAGTGAAGTGTCGTAGGAGTTGAGACGAGGCCAGGGAGCAGAGCAGAGTTGAGTGAGACCGGGGGTTGAGAGCTCAGATGCGGGGTGAGAGTCGTAGAGCGTGGCGCTCTGAATGCAGGCAGAGTTGAGGAGCTCTATGCAGGGTTGAGTGTATGGGAAGCTCAATGTGGCCAGTGTCTGGCTGCCTGCTGTGTCGAGACTGAAGCGTCTTGAGAGGGTAAGAACTGGACACATCGAGTGCTACAATGTTGTTGGTTAATGTTGAAGATGTGTAGTATTTCTCAAGCGTCTATACTGAACCACTCTTGAAATTAGATTGATGACTATTGATTGATTAATGAAGATTAAGCCACCCAGGAGGTGGCACGGGCACGAATAGCCCGTAAGATGACTATTTGCTATCGATTGCTTATATAATTGGTCAACACTTTGACTCACCATCCTCTAGTTGGTTAGGAAGTAGTCTTAATTGTAATTAGGGAAGAGGTATGAATTTGTCATTGGTGGACTAAGTAGAATTAACAGACCATCTCATTATCTGCACATAAGCTAATGAGAGTTTGGAGCAATTATATTATTGACATAATATACTTGCTACAAGTCTACAGTGGTACAGTGGCAACACATCCTTGAGTCTACATTGGTAGTAGATCCATGAGTCTTCAGTGGCAACATCATCTTTGAGTCTACATTGGTAGTACTGTACATCCATAGGTCTACAGTGGCAGCACATCATTGAATCTACATTGGTAGTACATCCCTGAATCTACATTGGTGGTATATCCATGAGCTGACACTGATAGTACTTTATGAATCAACACTGGTAGTACAGTAACATCCAGGAGTCAATACAGGTATCATAAGAAAAAACGCAGTATATTCAACAATCACCATTGATCCTATACAAGTGAATTATTTAAAATATTTACTACTGTACTTGCATTGTACCGATATTAACATCCATCTTACAAAACAAATTCTCCAGAATAATGGTGTAGTGGTTTCTGGTATTGTCCTTGCGACTATTGATGCGGTAAACAAAGGAACGGGAGATCATATTCACAACTGCAACTATAACATTACTATATTAATGCGCTTCAAAACAACGATGATGAATTGCTTGGTTCAGTATTTTAGAGAAGAATTATGAAATATGCATAATTTGAATGTAGAAACTCAGTGTATGAATATGACTGTACAGTACTAGTGAAGTTGAAGAATAATGGTAATAGTTTCCACTGTTGGGACAGGAAGCCTCTGTATACATAGACTTTAGGCGTGTATTGAGCCCATCGAGGTTGAACAACTGACCTTACCCAGAATGCAACTCCACAACAGATCCCCAAACAAACACAGGATCTCCAATTGAGAGTTGAGAACGAAGCCACCTATATTACAAGAATATGGCTAAGGAAAATGTGCAAGAACATGACTAAGAATGAGAAGGAATACTGTAACTAAGAATGAGAAAGAATACTGTAACTAAGAATGAGAAAGAATACTGTAACTGAAAAGCAGGAATAGTGATGGGTTTGACTTTGCATATCAAGTCTTTGCAATAGCATTGATTGGGTTGACATATTTTGTTTCTACTCTACGTAAATCTTGATCATTATAGTTAGCAGTATTGCAGCCTTTTCAAATGATATACTGACTGTTTAGTTCTCAAAGATGGAGTGTCAAGGCTACATAAACTATGTATTTTAATTAGCAGCAGTTCCCATGGGGCAGTGGTAAAGCACTCGTCTGGTGCTTCAGGAACGCCTTGGCCTGGGAGGACCGACGTAAGAACATAAGAATTATGCTAACTGCAGAAGGCTATTGGCCCATACGAGGCAGCTCCTATTTATATCCACCCAACCCCATTCATATATTCTGAGAGTTATGATTAGTAAGAATTCAAAATCCCACACATGTCAGCACCAAACTGCATCTGCCAATCTTTTGACCATTTCAAAACCCTACCCAGATCGTCGAAGTGATAATGAGTCCCACTCCGCGCCTACCCCCCATCCCGACCTTCGTATCATCGGCAAACCCACAAATCATGGGCAGCAATCCTCAAATGTAGCCTCTACATTAGAGGCCTCTAGCCTCTACATCCAGCAGTGAATGGGTACCTGGTTGTCAAATGATTTGGAGGGTCATATTCCGGGGAAAATTAGCATTAAGAAACTGCCCAAAATGCTATATGTACTAGTGGCTTTACAAGAATGTAAGAACCCTTGTATTAGATTTTAATTCACTAACTAGCACTAGGGCTAGTTAGTGAATTAGCTAGTAAGTTCAAGTTCACCCTGGACAGTTTGATATGTTTTTGAAATGTGTAATGCATCTCACTAATGCAAAACATTGCTATTGTTTGCTTGGAGCTCTAACTGGCTAATCCTATCAAGTTGTCACTCAAAAATTATATACCTGTACTAAAGTGCCCAAATTTAACCTAACTGATGGACCAATTTATGGAAAAAGTTAAGTTGTTTGTGAGCGGCTATGATTTATAGTACATCATATTTTGTTTATTGGGGATTTAGACAACAGAATGCAATGTATTATTCAAGAGGACAGGTTGCTAACACAGCCGAAGTGTAATAGGATAAGTCTGCCACTTTCACTGGTCTCAGGAGCTTGATTACATAATTGAATAACAAAAGGAGAGTAAGTTGTGCATCCTCCCTCCTGCATTTAGAAAAAATGCTAAATGTCTGGTGACAATGCTAAACTATGTAACTAGTTAATTGAGGCTTTTAACTTGCTTTGCTAAGTGGATTTTGGGGTTCAGTTCCTGAGCATTATGTGCCTCTGTAACCATTATCCTTACCATTCACATGATAAGTACAGGATGTATTATAAACTAAACTAACACAGTTCTACAGATCACAGTTGAAAAGTTAGTCTCGGTTGATAGCTGTGAGGAACTGCCAACTCTTGTGAAACTTTGAACAGATAAATAACTAACCTCACTCCAATATGTTGAATTTGACCTGAATTTACATTAGGGCCACAGTCTCTGCTGGTGCTTGTTCTGAAATACAAATAATTAACAAAAATGATAAATGAATACTTTTCATTTCTTTTCATGATACCCTTTTCAAATAAGTAGTAGTTAAGCATTAAAAACATTTTTCTCATCTAAAACATTGTAATTCTATGCAAACTAAAATAATATATTACATTAAAATATTATTCTGTATGTAAGTGTTGTACTTGGTGGCTATCAAGCTTATTTGTCTTGGCAAGGACAAAATTTGCAGCTTGTGAAATGTCCTTCTGACAAGTTAGTTTCAGCCACAAAACATTTATAGAAATAAATTATATTTTGTTTGATTCAAATATCTTTTCTCAGAACTTTCACACCATAAATCATTAATTTTCTGACTTAAAACACCATGAAAATTTAATTTTACAAAGGCATAGTGAAGCTCGGAAGGGGAGTGAATAGAAGTCCTAGTGGTTCTAAATCCAATTCATCGTCTAATCTACATGCAATCATAATAATAATAATAATATTTTATTCAGGAAAATTACATACATAGATGCAGAGTTACCAACATAATATTGGATTTCTAGATACGAGTTAGTACATACAATATCTAAAGCCACTAATATGCATAGCATTTTGGGCAGGGCATACCATTATTCCAGAACACTTTTAGAGAGATGAGCACACAGGTATTTCATGTTGGGAATCACAAAGTGTACCCCCAAGACACTTTGTCAAAGGTGTCACACACTAAACACCTTTGCATCTAGTACATCCAGAGTGCTACCCTGGGAACACAAACCGAAACTGTCTCTATTTTCCGCTTGCTACAACTTGTAATAAAGTTGTTACATCTTGGCTTAACGTGTTTATGACGTATTAGAATGTTGTTACAACTTGCTATATTGGATGTTGTAACTGGTTAGGTGTTAAAACTTGTTCAAACGTTGTACCAACGTCGTAGTTTTGGTGTGTGTTTGGCGGGTACACAACCCTCTATACATGTGCAACTCTCCTAGCATATTATTTGCTCAACGTATTATTTAATCACCGTGTCTAATATATTAATGAATAAATTATGTAAGGCTATCCATGTCTAGCCTCATGCTTGGGAGGTGTATTTGCTACCTTTGTAAGATACCTATCTTTTTTATGGTATCTTAATTGTTTATTGAGCAACAGTAACTTTGCAAAATTTTGTCCCTATGGGGCCTGTGAGAGGCTTTAAGAAAATCAATAATGTGATATAATGATTATGATAATGACAATTAAATTAAACATGGAAGGAAATCAAACACATTTATATTTAGACCATGTATTGAATACATTTTTTTTTTATTATAATCACAATGTTATTTATAGGGATATCTACAAGTAATCCAAAGGTAAATTTTTCATATAGCTAGCTCTGCTATTTATATCTACCACTAAGTTAGTCTGCAAATAACCATTTACAAATAAATAGTATATTTTTTTAACCAAATGACATACATGTACATCCTTTTTGTTTTCATAAAAATGTTGACATTATGGCTCAAGTTTGCGGCAGGACAAATTTGAGGATTATCCAACACTATTAGTTCACCAGATGTAAATTTGATGCTGTGCAACAATAGCCCCATCCTCCCCCCAAAAAAATCATTATTTAATGTAATAAAATGTGCCCCTTTTTTTTAAGGCAGAACCTCGGTAGCTTCCCGGTGCTTAAAGCTATGATACCACAGATACATACAAACACTATCAGGGGTCTGGACTTGTATATGCCTGCCAAGTCCAGGATCAGAATCTGCTCTGCTCATCGAGGCAAAGGATCCTGCAGATCAGTGATCTTCCAAAAACTGTGAAAAAGTGCCTAGAAAATATGCAAAAAGTAAACAATTACTCTTAGTAGGAAAAGTATAAATAAAATATATAAACTATACTGGCTGCAGGTTAATACCCACTATGCCAGGGTATAGGCCAGACCGACACTCTGGCACCAGGCACTATCCTAGGTTGCCCAGGGATGTAAATATTCCTGGGCATTGGTGGTGCCACCAGGCACCACCTCTAGGGTGGTGCTTGGTGGCAGTCGGTTGAACTGGCCTTGTGGTTTGCCCCTCGACAAACTTTCATTTGCTTTGTTTCGATACTTTTCTTTTCCTATCAGGGTTAATTGTTTGTTTTCTTTGCCAGTACCTTCTGACCTTTTTTTCTGTTGTGGGGTCAATCTCTGATATATAGGATCCTCCCACCTCAAAGAGTGAACCTGATTCCGATCCCGGTCTTCAACTGCCCTGCACATGTCCAGAGACTGGTAGCATTTCTAAGTCTCTGTGATACCAGAGCCTTAAATACTAGGCACTACTGAGGAACAGGCCAGAAAATCACCATGTAAAAAAAAAAAAAAAAAAAAAAAAAAAACGCACAGCTAGTATTTATTAATGACAGCCAAGAGTATTAATATACTGTATATGTCTAGAATTTTGATGAATGAGAATATCGATATATGCAAACTGAATAACATGATTAGATAACTACTCCTGGGGGCCAGAAGTTAATTAATTCTTCACTCTAAGAAATTTAAAAGTTTAATGCCATAAAATTAGTGACACTAGTATGAGAATGAAAAAGTGATTCGACAAAATTTACCAAGCAGAAGTTTCTATAATTTACTTCCGTTGTGGATCGGGATGGGGGGTGGAGAGGCAACTTAATAGAACCCAGGGTCAAGAAGAGCTTAGACAAACCCGAGTAAAATGTCACTGCTATTTACACAAGTTTATGAGAACGGCCAATGCATTGTAACAACAATCAATTGACCTTTGTATTGGAGCCATTCAACATACTGCAGACAGCTACAGACAAAAACATTCCATTAAAGAATCTTATTAGAATCAATAAGGGTGGTAAAAGAACATTTACATATAAACTTTTAAACATATAACAACTGTGACAGGCTATTATTTGTCATATCTGTAACACTACCAAGTGTATGCAACAACTGATAAGTTAAACAATAACCCATGAAAGACCTTCACCTGATCCTTTCACATACGTATCACTGAGACCAAAATATACAGAGAAACAACGGGGAGAGACTTATGGTTTTAAAATACTACCTTGGACTGTTTCCCCTAAAGAGATTGCTGCTGTTTAGTTTTGAAAGCTACGAATGATAATATATTCAAATTATGGCTTTTAAAGCAGCGTGGCAGGAATTCCAAATATTAAAATACCTATAGCAGACATTAACCTTGTAATCTGTTACCATTTACCATTACCTTCTCTTACATTCAACAATGGAAGAGCAACTAACAATATACATTGTAATTGTTGTTATTATTGTTTAGAAACAAGAAAGAAAATGTAATTTTAAATATATTTAAATTAAAAAAAATTCTTTTGAACTTTATAATATTTACTTACAAAACATTCTGCTTGGCAGAATAAATTGAGAAAAGTACATTGGTTAACACCATTGCACCTGTAAAATAAATGGTTACAACCATTATAAACCTTTTCAAAACCTAGGCAAAGCATAACCCTTAAATGGTTGTTGGAGAAGTCAGCCTAAAAACCTGTTTGGATTTACGCTGTTATTTAGTCTAATATTCGCCAACACCGCATTTCTTGCTATGTCCACCTTCCCAGTCACTTTATTTACTCAAGTGATGCGGAGCCACTATGCCCGTGGCACTGGCACTGCAGTTTTGTTTACCTGCGTGTAAACACACCATGTTTACCTGCATGTAAATGTACCATGTTTACCTGCATGTAAACGTACCATGTTTACCTGCATGTAAACGTGCAATGTTTACCTGCATGTAAACCACACTATGTTTACCTTGCATGTAAACGTACCATGTTTACCTGCATGTAAACGTACCATGTTTACCTGCATGTAAACGCACCATGTTTACCTGCATGTAAACACACCATGTTTACCTGCATGTAAACACACCATGTTTACCTACATGTAAACACACCATGCAACTTACACACTTGGCAATACCCCGGGACACAAAAATACTACCGGCATTTCACACACACTCGAGCCTTCTTCTAGATTCCTTTATCTAGCAGTAATTAATAAGTGAAAATAATTACTATGAAAATAATAAGTGAGAAAACTGATATCGAATGTGAGCTGGCAAATATAAATATGCCTATTCCAATGCACACTTCAAAGCACAGTACCATTATTTATGTTATATACTTATATTAAGAAAATGAGAATTACATTAATTAAAATATACTAATTGGTTTAAAAAGCACCAGAAAATATTGAAGGCTTCATATGAAATTCAACCATAACTGAGAAACATTCTAAAGATGGGAAACTTCCTTGTAGTGTGTATTCTAATGATTACATTGCATAATTTTATACTGAAATAGACATACCATCCTGCGAGTTACCTAGTTCAGGGCATTTAGATAGATTTGTGCAATGTCTATAATACAACCTCTCAGTTACTGTTCCTAAATGCTCTGATACTTGATACACAGGCAAGATGTTAAATAATTCAGGTGCAAGATGTTAACTAATTTAGGTGCAAGTTTAAAAGGAAAAATATAGATATAGGAGTTCATTAGGGGGGGGGGGGTAAGGATTTTTCATCAAGTTCTAAGGAGTTCAGTTACAGATCAGAATGGGAAATTAAGAAATCTGAAGGATATTTCAAATAGTTAATGAAATGTTACACATTATGTCAGAGCTCACTACTGTCCTATACATGTGAGAGTGGATGGTAATCGTACGATATAGTAGAACCTGTATTTATGAAGGTGAAAAGTATACTGACTGAAGGCAAGATAAATGTCGGAATTGGTAAGCCAGCTAGAATATGCAGTACAGGTTGTGATATATAATGAGAGCAGCTAAGAATTGGAAAATACCGCACAGTTTATCAGATACAGACATAGATGTTCATATTTTTAAGCAGCTGGATGACTTACATTAACAAGTCATTAATTTAACAGAAAATGAACAACGTGATACAGTATGATACAAGATACAGAAATGCATCTTCTCACACTGTTTCTCAAGTCATCTTTGATTCTCAATTGGACTGTAACAAAGTACTGTATCCCATAAATGATAATGTTTCTACTCATGGCTCAAATCTGCCAGAGGATAGTTGTCTTGTAACAAAATGCACTCAAAACAGACATGCTTAATGTTTGTAGACAATTATTTCAAACTGAGCAAGGGGGAAAATCAGGCTCAGTTTATCATAAAACAGGTGGTAAATACACTGCTATTATTATCCTTGCACTTGAATTAGCTAGCTTGTGTGTTTATAAGATTAGGTTATGTATACAAGACTGCTCATTTAAATTAACAAGAAGTCACCCATCTACTTTAAGGGATTCTAACAGCTGTCTCATACATATGCTATCCATTCCTTATTCTGTAATATGCTAAATTATATAAATAATAACGAATTCTATACAAAAACTGCATTCTTCATCCTGTAATATGCCAAATCATTTAAATAATAATGACTACTATACAAAACTGTGATATGACGTAGGTGAAGTTCTTGTCTGTACAATTCACAAGTGTTGTGCACCTCATACTTTGTAAGTACATATATTCTTTAGCTGCTCATCGGTAAAGAAATAAAATGTCTTCAAATTTAAGAGTAACTTACCCAATTTTAAAATGATAAATTGTGGAAGCAACCTAAGTCACTTTCACTGCTCCATAATATGAAACACAAGCTCCAATATAATTGGTTGATCTGTGATGTTTGCTGCTGCACGATGAATCACGGGAATCAGTTCTGCATCCAAGTCATTCATACATGATGCTGGGAGACGATTTCCACTGCTCCCGGCTTCATAGCCCACCTGAAATGTTAACAATTTGACTTAGGTGTACACTAGGACTATTCCATTTCATACATGACATCACACGAAAGTATCCACAAATCCAATTAAAACGTGTCGTTTTCTCATTCCACAATGCGTGGAATGTATTCTTTGATAAGGCATTCATTGGTACTTGAACACAAATTTGAATATAGAACCTTTATAAATGAGCAATGTAATTGTCAAGCACACAACAAACTTGCTATTTCATAAGCCGATATGTAGATGACGTCATGAAATTCAAGTGTAATATTATGAAATTTAAGTACAGTATACAGTCATCATATACTGCATTGTTATGTACTGTCATTTGTAAGTTGTTCAAGCAAAACAAAGATTTTTTTTAGCAGCAAAATCACACTTTTCATTTGTTGACTGTCTAACAAGTTGTTCCATTTCAACCAAATATAAATACATAACTGTTATCTACAAGCAATTACCAAGGAATCCCACTTCCCACTCATATCTATAGGATGTAACCAGTTTAACATGACCCTAAGTACAAATAAGAGAGTGAACAATAAAAGGTAGCAGTAAAACACTTCCCACTTTCATGCAATGGGAGGCATCAGCCCAGTAAAAATAGGAATGCAAATTTGAACAGGTTAAAGGTAGTTATAAGAAAAAAATCAGCATTGAACGTAATGAAACGCCATTTTCTGGGCGAGTCCTGGAAGCTTCCCGGAGCTATCCAGGCTGAATGGATATGTATAACTTTCTGGAATCAGTCAAAATGCTTGAAGTTGTTGCCTACTGGAGGCCACAAGCCAGAACCTGACCCCCTCAGAGAGGCACGAGGAGCAATGGCCTATAGAAATCCCCCTGTGATTGGGAACATTCTATGTCTGCCATTGACCGGGACAGGCACCCTGAAAGGTAGGTGCACCAAAACAAACCCCTATTCTGGTGAAAATACTACTACCGAAAACCGAACGAGTAGACAGAACTTCCCCCAAAAAATCATCAAACTAGCATGACGTCGTCACGTCGCCGCACGACCATCTGCGCAACCCACCCTCCCCGGGAGGGAGAAGGGGGAGCCCCAGACACTCCACATCGGTGATCCAACCGGCAGTTCTTAGGCTGGATGTCAAAATACGCGAAAAACACCGCCAACTGGAGGGAGGGAGGGATGCTGGGGAGCCTCCAGAACTCACCCAGAAAATGGTGTTTCATAACATTCAACACTGGGTTTCTGAGGGGCGGCCCCCTCGGCTCCTTGTTGGCCTCAGGCAGAGGCCAACAAGGAAAAAAAAGAGCACCACAAACTAAAGTGCGAGACGCGAAATGAAAAACAGCAACCCCGCAACCCAAAGGAGCAGTGAAATCAGCTCCAGCAGGGAAGAACGACGCACGCGTCCCTGAGGTATACACGAGGAGAACTACACAGGTTGCGTACTGCAGGAAAACGGGTAGCTTGGACCAGAATCCAAGCTACCCATCCCAAGAAAAGGAACCAGTAGGGCAGGAGAGGTGACCAGAAGTCCACAACCACTCGTAGACATTGCAACACAGAAGCCTACAGTGAGATACAAGGAAATGGATCTTATGGATCTTTCTCAAAAGATTTAGATCTTTTATTTTAAAGAATTGCAGAAAATCAAAAACTTTATATTAATACAGTCTAAGAGTCAAATTCTACTCACACTGTCTTGATGAATTGTGGTACGCAGCCCAAGGCGTGTATGTCCATTGTTGTACAAATCGGCCAAATGAGGGGTAAGCGCCACACAAAACGATCGTGCCAACAACTCTGAGAGACGGCTCAGGTTCACATCATTGCTGTTGTTAGTTTCTCCCTGTGAATAAGATGAAATATTACTTCAACTAACAATAACTTTTATAATGATATTTCACCAATGAGTATGACGATGAACTGTATGTTCAACATTAATTTGATACTAATTTACATTTTCAAAATTTTTTTACCCATGGTCTATATCTATATCCATTCTCCCTTCAACACTACATCCGTAATGCAGAATTTCACATTTCCTTAACTCTGTGGAAAACGTAAGTTGCATGAAAAAAAAAACTCTTTCACTCTGATCAACGTAGTGCTATAACAAACCTTTTCTGCTTTAATTTGAATCGAAACTGGATGATACATAGTGAGATAGCTACAGGTAGCCATGAAGGGGCTCCTCAAGAACAAAAAGCATTTTCAAGTAAATAAAGCCTCTTGGTTAGTTTGATCTTTGATCATAACCCTAAAAAAGACCCCATATTTGAGTGGTAATGGTGACATTTTTCAAAAGTTCTTATCAAACCATCTAAAATGTTATTATTAACTTTCACTGCAAGCTTTGGGCTAACTTACACACAAAACAAAAAAACTTGAGAGGTAGCCCAAACTGGTCAGGAAGTGCAAATGGCAAAAGATTTTCAGATAATTTCATATAAATTAGTGATAAAGTACCTATGAACAAGAGGAACTAACATTGTAATTATACACATGAAATACCTCCTTACCTGCATTATGAAGACTTCTGTCCACCTTATAAGATGAGCATTACTGACATAATCAGTACCAGAGTGGATTTTCACCGATGGAATTCCATCCATCTGCTTCTCATCAACAGGACTCTTAATGCTGAAATATTAAAGTATACAGATTACGATTATGTATACCAGGAGAATAAAAATTTGTACAATACAGTACATGCTGCCCTCAATTTGTGCAGAGTTTATACTGCCGCAAAAACCACCTCAAGCAGTTTATCAAATTGATAACTATTAGTTGTGGTCATTGGTAAAGGCTGGACCTTTTCATGGGAAATTAACAGTAGCCAATTCAAGTGAGTAAATTTGTGGAAATCTTTTATTCTTTAGGAAGAGGAATAACATAGGCAGATGCCACATCATTGTGACTCGACATGAAGATTTGATGACCAAACCACATCAGAAAATGGAGAAATGACGATGTTTTGGTTAATACTGGACCATTATCAAGTCAATTTTACATATCACATCACAACTTCATAATGATCCAGGATGGAACAAAACATCATTGTTTTTCTATTTTCCGATGTGTGGTTTGGTCATCAATGACAGACATTGTCTCAACCATGTGAACAAATTTGTGATCAACAAGGAATTTACTTAAACCATACTGTTGTATTCATACTAAAAAAATACTTTCAGATTTAAATAGATACAACATGGCATTCACGATATTGAACAAAAACCTGTCAGAAGAAAGAAAACCTGTTTATTTATTTTGCTCAAACTAAAGCACATACTTTTGCTGATACATCAATATTTTTAACCTCTTCTCAATTTAATTTTTTTATTAAATAGATATCAATATAATTTCTAAATACTGAACTGCACTTCATATTGTCTTTCCCTGGTGATTCTCAAACCATCATCACTCTCTTTCTATTCATATATACATATATCATTCCAGATGTACTTTACACACACTTTAAATACTTTAATACTTAAAGTACAGTAATTAAGTATTTTAAGTTTTAATACTCCTAGGGAAGCTTTTCCTTGTCTAAGTCTATATTAGGCTTAATCAGCATTAAATACAAATGTACCTAACTCTTATTAACACTGATTCTATTACTAACTATACTACTTGGTGATTTTAGCACTGAATTAACAAACAGGCATCAAGAGAAGCAAATAATTTGACTCACCCGACATTAAAATTTTTATCATCACTAGTCCACTTGATGATGACAACTTCATCTGGCTGGCTGGCTGAAACTGGACCACAGGGAATTTCAAAGTCCTTCATGTTTTGTAACGCTTCCCTTAGTTTGGTCATCATGTCTGCTGGTATCTGTTCAAATGCAGTGGAACCAAATCAAGTGTTGAATGTAATGAAACGGGTGTTTTTCTGGGTGACCTTGGTAGCTCTCCAGTGCATTGGTCATACAGGTCAGCGTTCAATCCCCAACTATCTAACTGGTTGGGCACCATTTCTTTCCCCCGTCCCATCCCAAATCCTTATCCCGATCCCTTCCAAGAGCTATCCAGTAATGGCTTGGTGCTTTCTGCTGATAATTCCCTCCCTCCAGTGCATTGGCCCTGGCACTGCAGGGCAAGCCACAAGAAGGCTTGCTCATTTCTCAGATTATATAAATATGTTATCAACTCACAACCAGATGAATTCATTTCAAGTTTGTATTACATAATTTGCTTCACCTAATGAAATATGGTATAAGCAAATAGCAAATTAATTGCCTGGCATTGCCTAGCAATACTAGAGAGCACATGCACCAATCACACGACATGACAAGACGGACAGTGTGGACGTGACTCCCAGGTCCAAGCCTCTTCAACATTTTCCTCGCAAGCTCTGAATTCTTTCATGAATTAAAATCATGACACTATCATGCTCCAAAGAAAAGATACCTTTTGTTAACCATAAAAAAAATCCCTTTATTAGCCATAAAAGGTACCTTTTACATATCGCTCTACATCGTTCTTGCATTAAGAGTAAATATTTAACAAAAGGTACCAAGTCGGGGAGACTAAGTAGCAATTTTGAGCAAACATTTTCGGGATGAGGATGGGGGGGGGGGGTTAAGGTGAGGTTTTAAAGTGCTGTCTTAACTTTGTGGTCTGGTTTAAAATGGTGGGTTATAAATAAATAAGCAAAATTTAATTTTGCTCATGAAATACAGGTACAGTATGTGCAAAACTCAATCTGTGGCTTAGAGCTGGGGAGCAGCTGTTATTAAAGCAAATATGGTAAAATTTCTAAATTTTTGCTTAGAAGGACTTCCAGGACAACAAGGTATCATCATTACAAACACAGTCAGATAGATCAAAAGAAGACGAAACTCTCGAAACATGTATAACGAATTAACACCCATTAACATCAACAGGCAAAGAAACTGGGAAATCACACCGAACAAGATAAAATAAACATTTTAATTTATTTGATCAACTTTATTCAAATGAGAAATTAAGAGGAAAACAGTACCTGAACCATAAGGCCATCTTCTACAATGGAGGACTTGGCAGACAGACCTGAGGTTGTCTTCAGAGCCCCATTAAAAACAATGAAGCTTGCTCCCGTAACTGCAATACAATATTATACAGTAATCTATTGTAATAAATAATGTTTTCCCTACATAATAATAAAATATTAGAAATTTACAGCTAGAATTCTCATATTCTTGGCAAAGAATGTTCACATCAAAATATCTATAGAAAAATATACTCCTATGCCTGGTATTGCAATTAAACCTTATCTGAACTGTAACAAGCAAATATTACCTATTTCTTACACTTTACTAAATATTATGCTACCTTTTTCACTATGATAAATATATATTTAAATAAATTTAAGACTTTAAAAACTTTGACTGGTTCCATCTAAGATTATGCCCAATTTTAGGATAAACTTAATTTTTTTCCACTGCAATTTGAAATGAAAATTGCTGAATTTAGCAACATTTTGGCATTGCTCTCATTTTTAAAATTTTCAGGTAATATTTAATAATTCATTAACAACTGCACCATGAATTTGTTACATAAAACAGGTGTGTGCAATGCAGGAGTTAAACATCCATGAGATAAGAGAGAAAATTACCAATTTATAAAAACCAATTGAGCTACTTTTCATTTTTTCAATCTCTAATTCTCTCAAAGTTGTGTTTTCATAGTTAAAAATTAGAGCTACACATTCCCTGTAACAACAAATCGACACAAAAATTAAACACACCTCTACGTGGTCGATTATGTATATTTATAGCCTGGGTGGAGTAATTGCCGTCATCATTCTCTATGGTAACCAAGTGGGAGTCAGCCTGGGGACTAAAGTTGGCTCCAAGGGCCAGTACGTGATCATTACTGTTGCTCAGAGCTTTCGTTACCTGATGTAAAATACACAAGAATTAAGGGGGAAAAAAAAAAGAGTAAATCCAAATCAAATTGGTAAGAATAGTTTTTGTAAAAATTATAATTTACAATTTTTGGTTATTCTTCAAGCAATTTAATTTTAAAGTATAAGTACATAAAATCAACAGCGTTAATATAGTGACACAATATACAATGAGCCTCCTCCTACATAAAATAATCTGCACATTTGGTAATTTTTTTTGTAAATTTACCAAGTTAGCACACCTTAACACTCATGTGTCAAACCCAACAACAAAACAATATTTACTTCAATATATAGATAGCATGAGATGAAGCAAAGAGCATACTCGCATAAACTACACGGCCTAAACTTGTCAAAACAATATTTCACACCGAGTCAATATGAAAAGATAATTTTTGCAACACACACATTTTGTTATTTAATTTTCATTTTATCAATATCCAAAAAATGTGTTACCTGTTCATATCTGTTCTTTGGGAAAAGTAAACTGGTTTTCTTGTCCTCCATATGGATGACAAATCCTTCAATTCCAGGGACGGTGTAAGCATAATTACGAAAATCCTGAAAAAGCGATAACAAGTGTTAAGTAAATTTTATTTTACATTTCAGTGTGATAAGATTTCCACAACAATTTTGGAGTAGGTCTGGTCAAGAGACCACACCACAAGGACAGACATTCCTGGAACCAACGCAAGGTAAACAAAAGGTACGCAGGTCATTACACACTAAATTAATAGTAAATAAAAAAATAAAACATAAGTTATGAAATGCACCATTCTGGACAGCTTGGTAGCTCCCCACAATGATGTTAAGGATCCAGTACCACTATGACTTTCACACACCACCGATTTGCTCACCGAGACTAAGTAAGCACGGAAATCAAGAGATAAGACTCAAAATGGAGCAAACCACCCTCGTAAAGAAACAAGGCAAATGATGACACATTCATGTCAAGGCTGCTGATGTTGACAACACATTAACAGCCCACGCTCTACCTCACCTGACAATCAACAGATAACCTAGATCAGCTGAGGTCCCAAGTGGCCTACACATTATGTGTCATTTATATGACATGTGTGTCGTTATATGACAGAGTGTTGGGAAGACGGGACACCACGAGCGTAGCTCTCATCCTGTAACTACACTTAGGTAATTACACTTAGGTAATTACACTTAGATAATTACACTCACATACCACCCAAATCCCCAAGGAGAAGAGAACAACAGGGTTATTGATATGAACTATTGAGGGCTGCCCATAAAATGGCTTTTCATTACATTCAATGCTATATTTCTGGATTGACCTCTCAGTAGGTCTCTAGTACAGTACTTACAAAAAAAGTGTGACCGAGTACTGCACATAGGCCTGCGATGTATTATCTACTCCTATATCACAAGTAAATCTGTTCCTAGCACAGCTCATACCTGGAGCATACACAGAGAAGGTTCTGGTAGTCCTACTCCCTGTGCCTGGCCTGGGGCTGGGCTCTATTCGAGATCAAAAGAAATGTCTTGCAACCCACTAATTTGCTGCTATTCTGTCTGGTAATGCAAACCAGAAATTGATTCAAACACTTGCAGGAAACACCAAATTGTAATTTGATAATAATCAATCTGCTTGTGATATAACATAACCTCATTAAAAACAATAGTAGGATTTTGCTCTTGGGTCATAATTTAACTTTATTACATCTATACAAATGTGTTACAACCATATTTACTTTATTTGTATAATAAGGTGATACTAACTAATAACATACGGTGATACCCACATTACCCTGGGATCACTGTACGATGCTAACCACATTTTAAGGGTTAAGAGCAAGTACTTGTAATGTTTTGTTTCTAACATTCTGGACAGTTTTCCCCAGTTTTGGGTCACTCAGATCTCCTGTTCCCCTGGCACATGTGAAAATCTCAATTGTACTGGTAGCCAGAACACTACTAAAAGCCCAGCTCAGATAAAAAGCAATAATGATTATCTTAATGAAAAGTAGAGAACATGTGAAACAAAATAGAGGTATAAGATATGAAGTAGAGGAATAAAAAAATTTTTACCACAAGGAGATTCATTATGGTGTGTCCAATCTCACAGAAGACTGGTTTTCTGTTGCGGGCCGACACGAGAGGACAAGGATAATAACGGAACTCTGCACCCATGCGCAGCATCAAACGAAGCGGAAAAACCTGCACACAAGATTTTCTTCATTACTTAATTTGATCATAATTTTCACTTCAAATAATCATTCAGTTATAAATATTATTAGCAATAGGTTATATACAATAAAGAAAAATATATTTATTACACTACTCACATTGTGTGAATGAACACCAAGATAGTTACCATTTCTTCAATTTTCAAATTCTATCACTTGGCCAAATGTATTACTTTCAAATAAAACGATACTATAATCTGCTATTTATCAGTATGTGGAGATGGGAAGTAGAACAAAATAATCATTGATACATCACATTAATGTGATTTTTTTGTGCACAAAAAACTATGCAATATATAAATGAAAAAAACTTGGTCAGAAATAATAGCAGGCAAGGAAAAACATAAAAAGTGAGACCACACCTTAGCCCATGGCGTCTCCCACTTCTGAATAAGGACGGCAAAAATATAAGGTGAAGGGGGCAACACCAAATTGCGCAGGCACTGGAAAGTGGGGCGGATATACAGGAAGCCACCGTGCTCCCGCGACCCCAGAAACCCTTCTGGTTCAGTAAAAATTGTGTGTCCCAATTCTGACACAAGGTTACCTGAAAGACAAAATATATTCCCCATTTTTATATCTGATAAATGAAAAGTTAATGGTAATTTTAAGGCAGTACGATGGGATTGAACATTCACATCCATAGACTTCCTAGACACAAGCACTACCGACAATACGTGTGCCTGGGCAGTCTGGGGATGTGGGTTCCATCTCATCGCATGGCCTAAATATTTTCTCAAATACATTACGTTAATGTGATATAATTGTGCAAAGATACAGTAGTTCAGAGAGTGAGACCGGCATGATACTTAAAAATTCCACAACCACTTTTATGGGTGATTAGAGTGATAAAAATAAGAATGGGACCCCAGAATGATATGATATGTGTACATAGTATGCCAGGAGTTAAGGATATTAGCTGAAGTTTGAAAAGGTATGTGCAATGAGAGCAAAATAAGTATAGTGGAACTCTGTTATAATAATGATTGGTTATAAATACCTTCTGATTATACAGACAACTTACATGATCTTACCGATTTTTTATACCACAATTACTGTTCAGATCATTGACAACACGAGAACGCATTTTTGTACACCTTCAGATATACAAAAACAAAAATAAATACTTCCATCACAAAATCCTTCCATCATGAAATAATTAGTGTATGATGAGGACTCATCATACAGGATTCCACTGCATTGCTAATACAGTACAAGTATATTCTTTAAGCACAAAGATTTATGCAAATATTATATTTTAAACAAATCCATCAAACTATAAATGGTGAAACATTCTTTAATTGTTTCAAATACTGTATTTGCTGCAATTTGTATCAGATAAGAAAAATGGTAGCATTTACACAATTGGTGGTATCATATACACAACTCGTCAAACTGTTTTCCTTGGCCCTAGTCTCGCATTGCAGGGGAGCAGTTATAGTGTTCTTTAATATGACTCTTACTTGAACCTTTCTGCCCAGTGAAGTGCTTAATTGACAGCTGCATGTCCAGGTTCTCCTTTTGCCACATCATATTATTTCAGGTGATTTAAAGGGTTGCTCTCGCCTCACAGATGCATTTATGCTCTGTGTGTGTGTGTGTGTGTTGAGAGCATTTATCCAAGCATCGAGCAGAACTTGCCTAGCTGGAGTATGGTGAGGTATTCGGTCCCTCTACCGAGTGACTTCTCATAGGCATTACTCGGTAGCATAGATGAATTTCCACATATCTATCATTTATGGTTCCATCAGTATTAGATCATTACTTTAAAAAGCAACAGACTGTGATAGTTCAAAACTGTGGCTTTATGTAACTATTATGAAAAGCTACATTCTGAGCAAAATCATTTCACTGCTCCCAATCCCTCCCGCTGTGATATTTCTCTCTGAGGTACAGTGTGCTAGTGTTAGACAGTAAGTGAAACGGCTCAGATCAGCGGCTCCAGAAGTAGTCAGTGGGGCAATCAGGGAGACCAACCAAAAATTATTCAAAGCCCTCATTAGTAGTCACCTGCAATGCCAGGAGAGGGGGCTCAGAAGGTCTTACATTGTTATGAACGACTTCTATCACTCCTTTTCCAGCGACTCCCTAGCAATTGCAATGACTCCACAGGGATGTTTGAAAGACTCTATAAGGGTTGTCTGAATGTTTTTCTCAATCAACACATGCAATCTTGTTCTAAGATGCAGTGGGATCTTACTTTTTAATATATACTGTACCAGTATGGAAAGGTTGCCTGAAATGAAGTAGCAGGATAAGGGTTATGGAGGCCAAGGTTAAAATACTTGATAAGGGTGTAAATTAGTGTAAAATAAATATAAACCATTGAAAATCACCATTTTCACTTTATTAAATTCTGATTGGAATAAAAAATTCACTAAATGAATGAATGAAAATCAGTCAGTCATCATTGAAAAAATTAATACAAAAATTAATAGGCCATTTATCATCTTATAAAACAAGGTTCTTAGTATTACTGAATTTACTTTCACCTTCACTATTTACATTGTTAAGGTCTCAACGATGTCTCCAGGAACACATCACAATGCAAAAGAAAGATCTTAGACAAAAAAATAATAATAATAATCATAACAGCATAGTGCTTAGGGTTAACGTAAGTCAAGTACTAACCTTGATTAGCTTGCTGATATACAGTGTGGAAAAAGGCAAATATATCTCTGGGCGGTTGCGTTTCCCCCGGAGCCACCTCCAGAAGGACAACCATTTCCTCCTGACCCACTGTACACAAGCCACGTGTTGCTACATTCCACACTTCCACACCAACACAACACTCCACTGTACAGTATTAAGAAAAGAAAAACATTGATGCATCAAAAGATGAAGAAACGACGACATTTCAGTCCGTCCAGGACCATTTGATTATGGTCTAAATAGTCCGTTATCCTGGACCTTTTGATTATGGCCTAAATGGTCCGTTATCCTGGACCGTTTGATTATGGTTCAGGATAACGGTCATGGAACAACAAACATTTATTGACACATACATCATAATAGCATTAGGACTAAAATAATAATCAGAATAAGGTAGTGTGGACAGATGAGTTTTTAATATCTAAACTGATAAAAGGCAACATAAGAGTTTGAGCAGAATTCCTCAAGAAGTAAAGAAAACCTAGTATGTACCTATTATGTAGGTTACGGAACATACCATGTTGACCCTCAACAATGCCCCGACAATGAACAATCATTGAACATTAGTGGATCACTGTTCCTAGTACAATTATGATTGTTTTTAATTGTCCTGGTGTAAATTTATTAGATCTACTTCATTTCACTTCAATACAGTTGCATAACCATCACCTATGTAGCAAACAAGCCTCATAATTGGTAAAAAATTTATATATAATATTGTATACAGTATACAGTATAAAAAAAATTTGGTATACAAAACAAAACCAATATGTGCAATTCTTTTAAAAATATGTAAAGTATTCTTTTATTTTTTTAATGCCATCTAGAAAATTGTGGAAACAAAGAATATGCATTTACAGTGCACACTAAAGCTATCTTTAAATATATTCCAAAGATAGTATAGCACCTACATTTAACCATTTTGACTAGGACGGTGAGGTTCTTATGTACAGCAAAGACCACCGGCGGCCCATCTCCTCTCATCTGTTGCTCCAGCTTACTGCTGTCTGGGTTGTCCTCAAACACATATTCTGAAAAAAATCTTCTAATTCAAAATCTATTGCAACTATATGACAATAAACATTATTAATTAAATACTACATACTTTCAAGCAATTACAAAATGACTGGAAAGTTGTTAAAGATTTCCATGTTACAGTATTTGATTATAATACAATAATAAACCATAAAATGCTGTAATCAATTATGACCTTAATGTATAATTATGGGATATTGTACATAATTTTTCCATTGATTGCCTTTGGGAATTTATTCAATTCTTTCTCTAATACTCCATTTATTTTCCTAGATGCAGCTCATAAGACTATATGAGGTAGGTAAGAATTTCTAGGCCTCGGAACATTAGGCATTATATTATAAAACTATTATTTTACATCCATATTAAATGACACACAAGCTGCGTACTGTACATGCCTAAACAATAATCATTAAAGCATGTAAATCATGAAAAGAGCGATCATATACAATCATCCCTCAAATTCCATCTATTGATATTCCTAGCACCTTGGCCCATCCTATGAGCTCTCCTTTGGACAAGTGCACACGACAGAAAAATTTGACCTCCTGTTGCCAATAAACAGGGTTTTTGTTCGTCTTTTGTGCTTCTTCACTATTAGATATTCTTGTAGCTTGGCACGCAGTAGATGTGTACTTTTGTGTGTTTGCTGAAGATGACAACGAGCTACTACTCTATTTGATATTGGATGAGAAGGATTTTAATTTTCTATAGCCTGCAACACATTTTGCTAGTCTGCAAATATAATTCCCATTGGTTGCATTGTTGACTATCAATGATAGCTGTCAATCATGACTGAGCCATCCTCTAGTCTGGTGAATTATGTGGTGGTAGTTCAATTACGAGCTTATGTCTTGTGCTATTTGTGTTTGCAGTCCCCAGATTTGTCTGTAAAGAAGCCTGACACACTATCTTGTTTTACGAGAAGGCGTTTAAGTCTACGGTGCTTGCTACTTGCACGTCTCGACATCACGTTACTCTTACTCCTGGCTTGGGCAGTTTACAAGGCTGCTTCCTCCTCAGTTTCCCAGCCACCTCCACTGGTAAAGAAACGAAAAACGGCCTCAGCTTTCAGTACTGTCAGAGTTCTGCTAGAAGCTAGAGTTTTTTGGGAACTACCATCCAGGAGACTGTCCCTTGATCCCTTCTATAATTTTGTTGATAAAATCTCTAACTCTGCTCCTGTTTTTTGTTTTTTGCTGACTTTGTCATCCCCTTCTGCCCTGGGTTAGGGTATGGTCTTGGGTTAGGTTCCAAGGTGGAGTAGAAGGGAATGCCGTCTACAAGGGTTTCTGAGGCAACAGCTTGGTTCCTTTTTGATCTATCCTGGAATTTGGTTATTTTATATCAACATTTTGCATTAAATGAAAACAAATTAAGTGAAATACCATTAGAATATACTTTTCCCATATAATTTGATAGCAATCACTGGCATACAATTTAGAACAATACAAATAATGATAGAGAGATACAATAGTTGGAGGGCTTGATAGACAGGCAGGTAGGTATCTGTGTATTTGTCATCTGTGCATCTGTCTTCCCGATTGACTAACTTATCTTCCCGATTGTGTGGCTATTTTTGTTTGACAATTCCTGAGTGCATCTCTAAACATGAGCCAAATTGTCAAGAAGATGTGAACTGTTGTTGATAGACTAACTGGCAACACTGAAACATCCCTTGCACTCACATACAAAACTCACAAAATCTAATCTGTTTGTATGTAATGTATGATACCAACATTACTGTATTACACACACAAACCCCACTCGTCTACCATTATAACCCCCACACATGGGCATGGCAAATTTTGTAATCTAAACAACTCTTTCGAGATAATCTAAACGGCACTGGAATACAAAGCAGTGGCAGGAAACACACACTTAGTGAGGCACAGAAGTCAAAATGTTGAGGTCTGTAACAAGACTAGCATCAGAAATAAGAGAACCAAGATATGATGACTGGTTAAGAAACTAAATCTCGTAAATGTAGAGAAAAGAGAGAGAGAGAGAGAGAGAGAGAGAGAGAGAGAGAGAGAGAGAGAGAAAATAGAAGGCAATATGATCCTACATGCAAGATACAGATGAGAATTGACTAGGTGGATATGGATAGCCTTTTCAAACTGAGAGAAAGTAGGATAAGAGGACGGAGGTAAAAACTGGAAAGACAAATGTGTTGATGAAACATGAGAAAATATTCATACACAGAATAGATAATCAACAAGTGAAAGGTGTCTGAAGAAGTAATGGAAGCTACCTGCATCTTAATATGCATAATCCAGTATATGACCAACTAAGTTTGACAAAAGAAGGTGACACATCTTGAGCTATATGTTAAGTATTTCACCTTACAGTCCTTTTTTTCAGGACTGTAATAGTCCTGAAAAAGGATTGTAATAGTCCTGAAAAAGGACTGTATTACAGATGACTATTATACCTCCAGTAGACTGCATAAACTGTGGTTTACAGTGCAGTACTTAAGAAAGAGCCATAGTTTTCCATTACTTTTATGCTTTAAGACTGAATAATAATTAAAGAAAACTGTCAATTAGGAATTTAAGGTAGCTCAATCCCAAAATTATGTTTTGTTTTATTTTCTTGACTACCACTTACATATAAGTATCCACAGTGAGAATAAGTTTTGTAGTAATAATTACAGTATTACTGTACAAGTATTATTCTTTGTCAAATACATGATAAATGATTCAAAACAAATGTTTTTAAAATAATCATTCAAGTATATAATTTGTTAAAGTATTGGTAGTATTCAACAAAATTAAGACTGATAACGATACAGCGCAACTACGAAAATCAAGGACGCAATAATTTATAACAAACCCCAGTAAACAGGGAAGACTTTACTACCAGAAAAACTGAAATTGGCAAAAATACAAAATCTGAAAGGGGGGATCTAGAATGATATACAGTACTGTAATGCAGTCTGTATTTTTAAGGTTACACTCTATTGTAAAAATAGGTCAATACCATCAATACCAATACATCACATTAGTACAGTATTTATCTACAACACTCATTGAACGTATCACAAATACTGTACACAGAAATTTTAAATTTAGATTGGTATTCATCTTATTAGCTTACTAAGCAATTTTCAGCAATTCACTCAGGTCAAACATTTTCTTAGCATCTAAGAAACATCGTAAGACCTGAAACCATTTCTTTGAATTGTTTCCTATTGGTTTATTTGAAATGTTTCATTTGTAATCAAAGATCCATTTTGAACCCAACTTCATATAAGCCTGTACTTTTCAGATTTCATATGATTCTTTATTTACAAGAGGAATGATGAACACATTTAAGATTCTGTTGGGTATGAACTGGTGTACAACACATGCATTTATGAATACCGAGGGATATTGCAAGACATAAGAAGCATATTTGCATCCTTCTTAAAGCAACCAACATACCCAACTGCAATGCTTTTCGAGAAGCTTTTCAGCCCATTCATAATTCCGATCAAATCACGCATCTCAATCACAGAAGAGCAGACATGCCAAAACTCTCCTCTCTCCATATGGCTCACCAGAGATCACTTGTTACCAATACAACTCCCAGCGTGTGTTGGTAATCAACAAAAGTAGAAACAATCAACTACAATACCACTTAATGGTTATAACAAAATGTAAACCATCAACATCACTACACCATACCTGGCTGGACCTGCCACCACTCAGAATGCCTACTACCTTCCTCTGCTGTCCAACCTTCTTCGTTCTTCCCATCATCTCATCATTTATGCCCATCAATGACTCATCCCAACACCTCCACTCACCACTTGCCTGATACATCCTCCCGTGACTTCCCATCTACAACTGACAGCCCACTATATTTTATTTTACCTTCATTTGTATTTTACTATAAAAGAGCCTAGTAGGATGTTGTTGCCACTGCAGTCTTAAACTCAATAGTAATACAAGCCAAGGCAACTGTTCCCCCAACTCTTGTAGCAGTGTTAGCTAATCTCCAACTTTATAACTAATCATTACTAATACATTATATTGATCAACATTCACCCTCATCAAAGCCCTCAAGATGACATTTAAGAGTAAAAGTGTGATCCAGATGAACAAGATAAACAAAAGGACATCGTCGAGAAGATAAATAATGCAAATCTAACAGCGACAGTAATCAGTAATGGTAATGTCTTCTCACAGACATAATAACACAAGATAAAAACCCACACTTTGTGTATTTGTGGAATTTATGCAAGGAATTGGCTCCACAGAATATGCAGGAGTCAAACAGTTTTTAATAATAAACAGATGCAACAGAAAGCCAATGCATTCTGCAAGTCTCAAGTCCAGTACCTAAACTACAAAAGATTACCACCAATGCATTCTGCAAGTCTCAAGTCCAGTACCTAAACTACAAAAGATTACCATCAACTCAACAGCACAAAGTATTCTAAATCTTCAACAAAAGCAACCAAAGTTAAGAATATTTAACAAAAGAACACAAAATTCTTAGTGCTCAACAATAGAGTAAAAAGTTCTTAATGCTCAACATAAGTATGCTTGGCATCAAGCTTATAGCACTACAGTTTAATTTTATATTTTCTTTCATAATAGAAACTTTCACCTGTTGACATCAGACGACACCATTTACAAGGGACCACACCTTTACTAGCTAAACATGTTCAAATACTTCCATAGAAACAGAACTGACGGTAGACTTTTGTAGACAACATTTTGCACATAAGTAGCTTTCTCAAATCTAACAGGCAAAGCACTATCAACACACAATACCTTGTCCCCACTAGATGTTTCTATACAGTATTCTAACGAACATGTTCTTATAGGCAAAACATAATCTACAAATAAAGTCTTCCTTGTGTTAATCTACACTGATCTATGGTTAAGACCAATCCCATTCTGATTAATTCAAAGTAACTTGGCAAATAAAGAATATCTTATTTACCATACCATAGTATGGTAAATACTATGGTATGGTAAATCAGTATGCTAAGTATACTTCACTTACCATAGTATGGTAAGCGAAGTGCAGGGTGAACATAATGACAGTACAAATTAACCGAACAAATACAGCACGTATATTATTATTCATACAAATAAACATGTTGCACACGTGCTTAGAAATGTACATACATTTCCAACAAGCATAAATAAAATCAATATTAACCTAAATTAAAATAAACAAAGAAGACTGTATAGACTAATAATAGCAAGCCTTAGGATCCCTTAAGAAGCAATGCTGATAGACATGCACAAGACAAGGTAGAAGAGCGGCCCACCCACCTCCAGTGGCAGGAGCCTGAACCACCACAGGGGGGAGGCCAGCCCCGGGGGGGATGAGGCAGCGGTCAGGGGGGAGGGAGCGAAGTAACCCACCCGTACCACCGCCAACACCACTGCCTGCAATGCACCTCCGTTACTACACCATTAAGAGATCTCTCTCGTCACTAGTGACTGCAGATTGAATTTCAGAATGTCCCAAACTACTGTACTCGTAAGCTATATGGAAGCCCTTTACCCTTGTTATAAAGCAAGTTCTAACAATGCTAAATCATCCTGGGTGGATTTCATACTAATGTACAGTATATCTAGCACAAGATAATGTTTATATATGGGAAGTTCTGAAAAACCAAACTACAGTACTGTACCACTGCCAACAGCTGTGAAAACATAAAATAATCACTATACCAATATAAAGCAATTGTAAAGCAATATATATAAAACATTTCTTTAAAATTAAAAAATTAAGCACACACATCTTGTATATTACTTTATTCCAAACAACTAATGCAGCTTCCAATTAAATGAACCTTCATCTAATATAAGAATAAGCATAAACCAGGCACTCATTTTTTTTTTTTTTTTAGAATGACTAACATGTGAAATGATCGTCAATAACTCTAATGCATAAGCTTTAAGGTTTAATTGCTGCAGGCAGGTTAGAATATTACTTATTCTAGTTTTGTTTAACTTTATACAATGTGTTTTTGTTACATCTATTAGTAATACCAAGTATTTCACCCATTCATACCTTAATTTTCTTCATTGAATACTGTCTAATGAGAATACTTCATTCTCCTTATTCGATCCTTATTTTTAGGTTTATCCTATACTTCTCCTATACCATTCCAACATCGTACTGTCAACACAACACTTTCACCAAAGAGCCAAAGCTCAAACCCCGCAAGCACAATTAGGTGAGTACAACAAACTCGGAATGAAAAGCAATTTATAGCCAGATACAGAGTCAATCTCTAAAATCCCCAATGGCTTCTCAAACTTTGCCCTGCTACTGTACAAAGCAGTAGTACAAAACAGTTTGGGTGCCTTAGCCCAATGCACCAAAATCTGGTTTGTTCTATGGGGTGAGGGAAGCAAGAGATCATAGATCAACAAAAAAAAAAAAAAAGCGTGGAATTTAATGAAACACCTCTTTCTGGATCAGCTTCATTGGCTTCCTGTTGCTAGTTGCACTGAGATAGCTCCACACTAAGTCAAATCAGCCCTTACAAGTGATTAAAACCCACCATGGACCAGAGGAAAACATGGCCCCCTCAAAGACACACAAAGCAAAGGAAAAATATTCACTCTCACCAAAAAATCAAGTCCCCAGAAAGAAGCTGAGCAAAACAGACAATAGATAGGTCAAGAGAGAATAAAAAAAAAATTAAACAATCCACTCAGTATTTAAGTAACTCCCGCTAGTTATCACTGTCCACCACTCGTGGCAGCACCACTGAAACTACTGACTCCGATGTCAACAAACCTTCAGTCAGGAGCAGAACAAATGCCCAATAACACCAGGAAGGAAGGGAAGTCCCATGGAGGAGGGGGCACCGAAATTCCCCCAGAAAGGGGCGTTTCATTATATTCAATGCCGGTTTTCTGGAGGACTGAACAGTGGCTCCCTGTTACCAACTAGATAAAGCTAAAATGGGACTCTCCAGGGAAAGAGAACACCAAACCCCCAAGGAAGGAGGCCCAGGTCAACAAATAACGCATCACCCAAAGCAGTCCGACAAGTGCACAAGTACAGATGGACAGCCACAACCTAACACAAGGATGCACCCATAGCCAAACTAACCACGAGTTAGCAACCAGAGAACCCCTTCAGAAGCCATCTCATTTTTACCCAGATTAGAGAATGCTGAAAACAAAGGAACTGGCCAACAGGGCTAAAATAACAAAACCCTTCTGGAGTAGAGCATGAAGGCTTCCCAAACCAACAACTGGACGTGATGACCAACAAAAGCAAAGTCCTTAAAAATAATTCACAGACTGAAGAGAATCTAGAATGAAAGAGTCAAAGGCTACTTGCAAAATGGCATCAAAGTTGTGCTGAGCCTTGCAAAGGAGTTAAAAACTTCTCTTAAAAAGTAATGACTCAATGGAGCAAGCATCAGTAACTTGTATCAGGTGAATAATCAAAGGTTTGTTTACAAAGGAGCCAGCAGCTCCAGTGGTGCTGCCACCTAGTGGTGGGCAGCAGTAATTATGAGAGGGAGGAGAGGAGGGGGAATAAATAGAGTGGCGCAATTACTGCGTGGATTGTTTGCCGTTTTGTACCGTTTACTCTCTCTAGACATTGCTGCTGTTGGTTCTGCTTTGCTTCTTTCTGGGGTGCTCAATTTTTTTACGTCAGTAATCGTGTATCCAGCGCTCATTATGTCTGAGGTAGGGAAGAGGGAGGCAATATTTTGGGCTCTGATCACTGGTAAGTTTTAATATCTCACAAGGGCTGATGCAACAATAGTGTGGATCAGTCTCAGTCTCAAAGTGAGCCACCAATTGGGCACTGCTTCCCAGTTTTCTGGGAAAACTGGGAAAATCAAAAGCAAAGAACAGGTGTCAGAAAATAATGAATTTAGGTACCATAAAGTAAACAAGGTAAAATACCTTGATTGCGATGTGCCTATATTACACCAAATAACAGCCTACCTATGGTCTCGACCAACTTGCCCTATCACTCTTCCACCCAATGTCACAAATTCAGCACCTATCACTGCAGGGCCAGCCGACAACTTGCTTTCAGCTAATTGGCGATGGATTTTTGCCGAAAACAGTAACAAAATAATTGCCCCCAGTGGAAATAACATTCCATAGATGATCCACATCACCTAGCTTAAGCATACTATTGAAGCTGTAACCAGGTGAGAGAGAATTGCCACCTGGTGGCAGTCAAGTGCATTACAGTTAGGGTGTTTACACTACAGCAACAATCGTCTGCCTTGTTATTTGAAGGTACATAATTAATCTACAGGCAGTAGCTTGTTTTTATATGCTCAGGCTTTCTGGTGGAAATTTTCTCAGTTTTATGTTGATCTCTGATCCCACAAGCTCAGCTCCCCTTGCCCCAGTAGCCAGGGTGGGTCTCGAAGGCCGGGTGCATCTCCCCAAGGCTTGGCTGGACCACCACTTAGCTGGGAAGCTCTTAAGACTCTCCTCGAACATTGTTCAGTCTTAATGTTATCCTTTACAGCAAAAATTTTAACAATAAATTTTCTAGATCTGCCAACCTGTCACCCAAACATAATAGTGCGTATAATTACTATTAGTCAAAGGTATAAAAGTGGACTGTTGCACCCCAGAAATTTTTAAAGTCTTGTACTATTAATTTTGCAGAAGGCACTAGAATGAAGCCTGCATCTGCAGAGGTAACAAGTGTGGTTTAGCCCAAATTTATCAAAATAATTGGAAAACCACTACAATTATATCTTCCTAGGCACATACACATACTCTTCTGCTCAATAACATATTTCAAAATACACGTACAGTACCAGTATGTTTATGAATTAATTTAATGATCCCGTCCTGTGTTTTGGCAAATTAGATTTTATGTTTAAACGTATCAATGTCTATGTTACTTTAGTTTGTGTGCATGGTAGAATACCAGAGAATTTTAACACCAAATCCAAAAATAGAAATACAGAAGACTACCCCAATTTACAGTGAAAATAAATTTATAATAATAATAATAATTCATTGTGTAAGGTGACAGGAAGCCAGAGTGTATTCATACACATTAGGCTTTTATCAAGGTCGCCCCCCCCCCCCATTTTAAACTACTGACCCTGCCCAGTATGCAACCCCACAGCCAGCTGATTAAACTCCTGATTACCAACTTACTGATAGGTAAACAGGAGTATCAGGTGATAGGAAATGCACCGAACCATTTCTGTTCCACCCGGGATTCGAACACGGAATTTTCGACTGTGAGAACAAAAACCCGACTGTACTACCGGGATCCTAAAATGAAATAAAACCCAACAAGTCTCGTCTCCACCAAAATATCCTAACGTGCCTCTATTAGAAAGGTAAGATTTCAACCATTGTATGCATCAGGTGGCAAGTACTCCAAATGGTGGTAGGAAAGGTTATCACAGAACACAAGAAAATTTAAAGAACTTTTGAAATTCATATTCATAACAAGAAATTCAGGTTTAAAACAAATTGGTATTTAATTTCAGGAAATGAAGTGTATTGTGTAGGCAAAGCACAAATAGGAGTGGAGGAGTCATTGCAGCTACAACAGTATAGAAATCCACACTATTCAACCTTATTAACTAGCATGAAGCTCAAAATTGATTAACAAGGACCTCAGCTTCTGGGTCTTCTAATCATTAAGTAAAATTAGATGAAACTTCAAGAGTATAGTTTTTATGCTCCAAAAACTATTGCCAAGGAACCGAAAAAACTTTAAACAGCATAGAAAACACTATGATCCCAAGAAATGTATAAACCAAAGGTGAAGTAATTGTTAAAAATGTGGCCGAGATACTTATAAAATAAACTAACCCTCATAAAAAATAAATAAATAATAAATTACCTCCTAAAACCAAATTACCCCCATCCCAAACCCTTATCCTGACCCCCCTCTCAAGTGATATATTGTTGTAATGGCTTGGCACTTTCCCCCGAAAATTCCCTCCCAACCCTTCCTAAAACTATTATCGACACCCAGTACCACCTCAAGGTACAATAGCAATATAATTCAGGGTGGACAAAAATTCTGGTTACTACCATATTAAAAAGCTAATAACAACACAATGCAGTAATAACATAAATTATAATACAAACATTTCTTTATTTTCACCACATGACATAACAATCATTTGTGTGTAAACATATTTGTATTATACAACAAACATCAGTACTAACTTACTGGTAATTACTATAAACTTTCACATTCAAGTTCAGTGCTCCACCTAAAGGGGTGCTCAGATTTTCTGCTAAACATAGCAAGTAGCGCTGACAACACACAGAAATTCTCAGTATGTCATTGAAAATTACCTATTTCGTTAGAAAATTTCAGATGTGATAAAACCTATACTGTACAGAAAAAAACATTAATCTAAGTAAGTCTATCTTCAATTCGGTGCTTCTCTACACTGAACGACTCG